CTTCAAACGGAACCCAATAGGCCTATAGGGTTCCGTATAGGCACTATAGGGAACCCTATAGGCCCTATAGAGAATCCTACGGGTCCTATAGGGAACCCTATAGGTTTCATAGGGAACCGTACGGGTACTATACAGAACCGTTTGGGTCCTATAGGGAACCTATAGGCCTTATGGGGAACCTTATTGGTTCTGTAGGTAACCCTATAGGTTCTATAGGGGACTCTATATCTCCCAAACTGAACTCTTTTGGGCAAATAGGATCCTATAGGATTCCTTTAGATTCCTATAGGATTCCTATATATTCCTCAAGGAATACTGTATATACGAATCCTTTAAGACATTTCCCTAAGGGCACGTAATTCCACGCGTGCGTCACGCCCAGAGGAAGGAAATCTCTCCCAAGCGTCTTTCCTCTGATACGGCCGACCGGGGATGACGTCCGTGAGATTCGAGGCCAGCTGCTCTGCCAGATGTCTGCATTCGTCGTCCGCTTCTCGCCGGTGAGTGCGTGTTCACGGGGTTTCAGAGTGTTCAAGCTGTCGGACGGGTTGGTTTTTGTCGGGGCGTGGTTCTTTCGGTTGTTACCCGTTTTCCCTGCACTATTTCGCCCCGATTTAATAGAAAATCAAAACTCCTCCACATCTCCACATCTGCACAGCAACCAGCCTCAAAAACTTTCTTCCTGAACACCAAAAGATCGTCAGAGTGATCCTCACCACTCATCAAAATCATAACATCGGGTTGTCAAGCCTGACTTTAGCTTTAGATATCCCGGCTCTTTCATTGCTGCAGTCAGTCGATGCAATCCGGTCATCCGTATGACGCAGAACTTCTGGTCAGTTTTACCATTTCCTGTCCAGCTCGCCGGAAGTCGACAGTATTTAAACCTAACTAGTTGTCCTAGATCAAATACATGAGCACTCGATTTTCGCTTCAGTAGCAAGCTATTTAGTATACTGCAATAGCGATAATTAAACAATACCTGAGCAATTAGCAATGAGATAGCCCATCGCTAATGTTTCACGCTGCAAACAATTCACTCAATGTGGAATTGATTAATTCCATGGTGTAATGAAGTCGGAATCCACCTGTGACTGTATATTTTCTCCCATTTTTTTGGCTCTAATGATTCATGAGTTTCGTTATTTCGAGCTCTGCCTTGCCGAGTGAAAGGTTAATCCAGCAACACCATCTTCAAAGCACTATTAATCGAGGATAATGTCCAGCCACATCCATCTGTCGTTTTTTGGAATGTGGAGGAAAAGCCTGCTGTGGTGTTGAGGATGTTAAGGTTCTTACGTTATAATTGACTCAAAATGAATTGGTGTTCAGGCAAGGATGAAAAAGTGAACGAGGATGGATTGCTATCCTTTACGAAAAGGTCCTATGGGAATCCTATAGGTTTTTGAAACGAAAAAACCACTAGGATTCCCATAGGAAACCTATAAGTTTCCCATAGGAAACCTATACGTTTCCCATAGAATCCTATAGGATACCGAAACGAACCAAGAGGATATCATTGGCATACTACAGGATCCTATAGTATTATAGAATCTAAAAGATATCCTATAGGATTCTATGGGATCTTACGGGATCCTATAGAAAATACCTATAGGAATCCTAAAGGACTGTTTCGTTAGGGACACCAAACACAAAATGTTTCGTTCACAGGGTTTAAATTCACCAGTTCCCAGAAGAGAAGCTAATGTGCTTTGTGGTAACCTTTTGCGGATTGGTGCGAGCAGTTAAAGCATGCCAGTCGTGCACTGCATGATAAGTTTGAAAGGGTAAAACGAGGCGTCTGCCAATGATCATAAGGTACACCACATTCTGCATTGATTTGATTTTTAGTTCAACTTTAATAGGATCAATTGTATTTCGTTTAAGTCACGTCGACTGGGATTCGTCCACAAATGGAGTGAAGGTCTTCTTTTATTTCGCCTTCACATACCGTTGAGAAACATCTGCGTCGTCTGTATCATAAGCCACTGCAAGCCACTGCGATGGAAATATTGAGAAATTCGGCTTCCGCGAAAACGACGAGGTTTATGGAGACTTTCGCACTAATACAAAAGAATGATACGATGAAAATAAGCGATTTACAAATGATAAAGCTGCCTCTACTATTTATTTGAACGAACCTGAAGCAAACTACTCCCCATCGTCACATCCTACACCTACCCAATCCCTCAGGGTTATTTCCTTAACGTAGCGACACGTCCCACCGCGTGATCGTCTCTGGTTATCGCAGGACGGCAGACGAGACACGCTGGGAGGCCCAGCCCAGTCCGAATCCCACATCCTGCCTTTCGTGGATGACTAGTGGACTTGGTGCTATCGTGCTAGTGCTGTACATTCAGACGATGAAACTTCCATGTGAGATTGGTCTCTTCTTCTTCGCGCTTATTCATCGCACCGTGGCGCTGGTGGGGGAACATGTATGCACCAAGCTTGAGCCGTGAGCGGAATGTCTCTTCTCCCCTTGTCGTTTATTAGCTTTTGTGACTGCGAAGGACCCGATCCGAATCGAGTACTTCTTACGGGTCATTCTTTCCTTTTTTCAGAGCTAGCATAGGCGTTAACGTTTCATATATGTATCCCTACCGACACGAAAGGGAAATAAATGGCACAATTGCGTGGAGGAACAGCGTGAAGGTGGCTTACAGGACAGAGGTGAGTCTCAAAGAGCCGTTCAGCCTGAAGTCCTTGCCGGGTTTTTCATCTTGAAACCATTTTTCCAGGTGAGGAGGGTGTACATACAAGTTGAGGAGTGTTGCAACGGATACGAGGCGACGAAGCAAAACACGTGCAAGCTGCATTGTCGCATCCCGTGCTTCCACGGCGAGTGCAAGCAACCTGATACATGCAACTGCGACCCCGGCTGGACGGTAGGTTCCTTCCAAAAGCATCGAAGAAAACGTCAACGCGAGTGGACATGACATATTATGCACCTTTTCACGCAGGGGAGTTATTGCGGGATTCCGTGTCCCTGGGACCGCTGGGGACCAGAATGCAGGAATCATTGCACTTGCCTCAACCGCGGGGTTTGCGACCCAGTCGATGGGTCGTGCAGATGCGACACCGGATGGATGGTATCTACCCTCTGAAAAAACACCTGAATATCGATAAATTCCTGGGTTTCTGAAGACATTGAACTGCATCCCCCCTATTTACATGCAGGGAACATCTTGCCAGCTGCCATGTCCCCCGGACCGCTGGGGATACGGATGCAAGAATCACTGCAATTGTGCCACCACCCACACTTGCGACCCCTCGAACGGGAACTGCACTTGCGCGGCTGACTGGACGGTACGACCCACACAACACTCTTCCACTCTCCTCTGATGTGGACTCGAACTGTTGTATCTCCATTGATACGTAGGGAAGGGATTGCGGGAAACCGTGTCTGGATGACCATTGGGGACCTCGATGTGTGTTTCGATGTGATTGTCCTGATGGTCGAGATTGTGATGCTATCACCGGGCAATGTTTGCCTCTCCCTGGCGGTAAAATACGAAAGGTTTGCCCTTGTCTTTTCCGATTCCATTCTCACTTTCTACGTGAGGACTTTTCTTAAATGTTTAATATACAGAATTTGTTACTTGTGTCGCAACTCGAGTCTGGGCGGTGGGGCTACCTTAATACCTTCATTTAACCTTATAATTTAACTTTATATTCAATTATTTAGGATTCTTTGGCTCGTGAACCTGAATGCGTCAAGCGACACGAACCAGGTTTACATTAATTTAGATAATAAGATTTCTTTTAATACTTATTTTCAGGTTGTGAATTGTCGAATACAAGTTGAATCTATGAAGGCGAGTAGGAATAAAGTATTAGGCTTGTGGGATTAGGACTTCTGTACCAGTCGTCTTCTTTTTTTTAAGTAATACTAATGGTTCCTCTTCAGTGCAAAATGCGAAATCTACCTGATCGGTTCAGGTCTGGATTGTTCCGTTGAGCAGATGTGTGAGATCGAAGGGTTGTGTTTACATATACGTATATGCTTTCTCTCTCTCTCTCCCCCTCCCCCCCCCCCTCATCTTTCTCTCTATTCAATTAGAGAAAAGGGTCCATCAGAATGAGAAAAGGGCCCATCAGAAAGCGGGAAGATCCGAGTTCCACCGAAAGGTGCGATTGCGAATCGGAGTCTACTGAAGGGCGTGATCGAGAGACTGGCGCATGTTCCTGCAAACCAGGATTCTATGGTATATTTTACACCTCCATATCACCGCCTTGTCATTTATGTCGAAGATATTAATTCTCAGGGTGCGCCCGGGCTCCGACTGGTTCTTGCCTCTTGCGAGACTCGTGCGAGAATGAATTGTACGCCTTCAGGAGTTGTGAGTGCAGCCGTCCTCAAAAGCGATGGGATTTGGTGATGCCAACTCACTCAACTTCAGTCACAATTCTCTCATCCGAAGATGTTCAGTCTAATTATTGCTCTCGGATGGTCTTTATACGGAGTTTCCCAAAAATAAAATAAATTGAAGAAGATACATAATTCAAATGATCAATTTCGGCTGTAACCTATCCACTCTAGCCTCCTATCTAACAGTGAAAAATTAAAACCCATCTAGATGGAATGACTCCCAGCAATGTGTGCTCCACAGGTGAGAAATTTCAGTCTCGATTGGAAGGAGGACGCCCTGGTGATAAATGCAACGAGAATTGCAAATGCAAGAAGAACGCAGCGTGCGACCTAGAAACGGAGAAATGCGTCTGTGAGAGAGGATGGACGGGCGACAACTGCGACGAACGCTGCCTTCCAGGCTCCTACGGGCGGAACTGCGAACTGCGCTGCCCCGACTGCCGGAAAGGTAATGGGACTCTTCTCGATCTCGTGCGGATGTCACTAGTAAAATGCAGAAAATACGGAGAGGTTTCAGACATTGTGGTTTCATCAGTGGCTGTGTCGCATTTCAACGTACTGCAATTGAATTGCGATTCCTGTAATGTGTTTTTGAGTTGACTTCCTTATCCCCGATTCAGTTTAACCATATCCTAATTTGGAAGTCAACAAATATCATGTGTTCTTCGATTAAAACTCTTGCGGCATTGAGTTTGTGATGAGGATTCGTCCTTCCTATACAAAACGTAACTCACCTATGTTTAACTTCTTTTTCCCTTAATCTTTACCTGAAGGGTCTTCTGACAGGTTGAGAAGGGGAAAAATAAAAATAGTTCTACTGTTCCAATTTTACCTCAGGTAAAAAATTATTGTAAGGGTTATAAAGAAGAATAATGGCTGTATGTAAAATGTCGTTCAGTAGAAAATTGCCACGACGTGGACGGACAGTGCCCGTGTAGAGACGGCTACTATGGTGAAAATTGCGAAATCTGCCCTCCAGATCGATTTGGACGGCATTGCCAAGAGAGATGCAACTGCAGAAACGGTGGTGACTGTCTACACATCACCGGTGGGTGTCGTCGTTTGCATGCCGTGATATGTAAACGTGGACGACCTGAGATATTTGCTGTTTTACAGGAGCATGTGCCTGCTTCGGTGGCTGGATGGGGGAGAAATGCGAATTTCCTTGTCCCGAAGGCACTTTCGGCCATGGCTGCCTCGAGAAATGCAACTGCCCTGACGGATGTCGATGCAACGCGGCGAATGGGAAATGCGAGTGTCTGGGTGAGTGGATGCCAGGAAGGTCGCAGGAAGGTAATTCTCCCTGGCAAGTTTTGACTGATACCTCCACTGATTTTGCCGTTCTGAAGGGCTCCATTGTGAGAATTGCACCGTCTTGGGGCTGCGTCTTGCCGCTCTTGATTCACCAATTGTCGTCAATTATACTTTCGAAGAGCTCGTAGTTGGGTTCAGCATCACCACAGTCTCGATCCTGCTCTTGGCTGGTCTCCTATTCTGCCTCGGGAGAAGACTTCACCATCGCCATCAGTCCTATCAGCATACGCACTTCCATAACTAACCACAACCTGGTATTTAAAAAAAAAGCGGAGAAATCAAGTGCAGTCGTTTTCCACAAGAAATAAATATTTTACAGGGATTTGCTTGCATCATATCCATGTTTTGCAATGATCCTCAAAACAAGAGTGGCAGACAAATACATCAAACTGACAATCAGGCGTCATTCGAAATATTGTTCGTTGTTGGGCAATTTGTGAAGAACCGTACGACCCAGACAACACTCTTCCACTCTCCTCTGATGTGGACTCGAACTGTTGTATCTCCATTGATACATAGGGAAGGGTTTGCGGGAAACCGTGTCTGGATGACCACTGGGGACCTCGATGTGCGTTTCGATGTGATTGTCCTGATGGCCGAGATTGTGATGCTATCACCGGGCAATGTTTGCCTCTCCGTGGCGGTAAAATACGAAAGGTTTGCCCTTGTCTTTTCCGATTCCATTCTCACTTTCTACGTGAGGACTTTTCTTAAATTTTTCATTTACAGAATTTGTTACTTGTGTCGCAACTCGAGTCTGGGCGGTGGGGCTACCTTATTGCCTTCATTTAACCTTATAATTTAACTTAATATTCAATTATTTAGGATTCTTTGGCTCGTGAACCTGAATGCGTCAAGCGACACGAACCAGGTCTGCATTAATTTAGATAATTAGATTTATTTTAATACTTATTATCAGGTTGTGAATTGTCGAATGCAGGTTGAATCTATGAAGGTGAGTAGGAATAAAGTATTAGGCTTGTGGGATTAGGACTTCTGTACCAGTCGTCTTCTTTTTGTAAGTAATACTAATGGTTCCTCTTCGGTGCAAAATGCGAAATCTACCTGATAGGTTCAGGTCTGGATTGTTCCGTTGAGCAGATGTGTGAGATCGAAGGGTTGTGTTTACATATATGTATATGCTTTCTCTCTCCCTCTCTCTCACCCCCCCCCCCCCTACACGCTTGAGCGACAACTTGCTGCGTTTGCCCAGCTTCTAATCGACCAATGGCTCTCCAAGCCATGGATTCCGGGATATCATGTTGCTCTGCCATTTCAAACAAAATAATGGGTGGTAGATGACACAAATTTACAATTGAAGTGATAATTATGCACTGTGGAAGTGAGCGCAACAAGCCACGCTTTTATACCCCCTACATATATACATATATATTTATACGGCTAAGACACGTTTCGACAAGTCTTAACATGATTTTGTACGCAGTTGCGTACAAAATCCACTGTTGTATATTAAGAATATTTTAAAATAAATGTTTTACATTTGTAAATTATTTTTATAACTTCATAATTTACAAGAAAACCAAAATATCCCCTAATTGTTTTGAGCAGTGTATATATATATATACTAGCGAGTTTGTTTGCCCTTCGGGCAAACAAACTCATTGTGGTCGNTAATTTACAAGAAAACCAAAATATCCCCTAATTGTTTTGAGCAGTGTATATATATATATACTAGCGAGTTTGTTTGCCCTTCGGGCAAACAAACTCATTGTGGTCGCGCCTTCGGCGATCCATTACCTTGGATAGCGATACATTCATTTATTCTTTGCGAAATGGCAAACACGTATTTAAAGTACGTCCCATTGGAATTCATGACATATGGGGACGAAATTCTTCATTTTTATCAAAATCATTACTTTGATGGATCAGCAAATTTATGAAAATTTGCAAAATATCTGCCATCGGGCTTTATAACCGAAAAGTACCATTTTTATCGAAATCAAACCTCAGTGACCTACATGCCCACAAAGTTTCAATATTATACGTTTGCTCTTTTCGCTGGTGAAAAATCATGTTTGGAAAGGCTGACCCACCCAAAAGCTATGCCCGGAGGGGATGCACCATGAAAGCTGAATACTCCCACAACTCAATAATATCACGTCACTTATATGTGAGCCAAGTTTCACCGTTCCATTTCTGTCCAATTCGCCATGACTATTTCTTTTTTTTTAAACATCGCCCCTCGAAAAATTTTCCCCCGGGGATGTATCAAGACTTACCATTTTTCTTTAACTCCTTATCTTGGTAGTCACATCCATGCAAAGTTCCAGCGTTCTGTGTCCATCGGTTTAACTAATGCAAAAAAAATTATGTGAAAACATCTCCCTTTGAAATTCATGCCCACAGGGCATTTCATTCCAAAGTCTGAATTTTTCTGCATGCAGCATCCCGGTAGGTAAATATGTACCAGGTTTCATCTTTCCACACTAGCTCAATCCACCAGGACAAACAAAAATACTTGAAAACGTAGCCCCCCAAAAATATGCCTCCAGGGTAGGGATCCAAAATTTTGCAATTCTCCTTAACTCATCGTGCCGGTAGGCACGTCCATGCCACGTTTCAGCTTTCCATGTCTCTCCGTTTTCTTCAAGCAACGGGACATGGAAGGCATGGAAGCCAAAAAGCAAGCATAGAACGGCCGGGAATTGAACCCTGGCCTCACGATTACCGGTACGATGTGCTACCACTACACCACCGAAACGGTGACATACCTAAGCCTCTTTCGATGACATCCTTATCCATCACGATATATATTTTTAAAAAATTCTCCCCCCCAAAATGTGTACCCCCAGGGCATGTACCTCAAATGTCGGATTTTTTCTGAACTCTGCACCCCAAAAGGTACNCCTTCACATTATGAAGAAAGGAAAGAAGGTAGGGAGCAATTAGGAAGGAAGAAAACGACGGCGCGCGCGACCTTGAAGCCAGCTGCTGAGGATGATTTCCGTGGGCGGCACGGTATAGGTTCGTTTTGGCAACTTTTTTTTCGGTATTTTTTTTCAAACGGCCATGACTCATCTCCAAATGAATGTAGGAACCAAAACCATAAATTTTCAGAAAGCGGATGAAATGAACTTTCTTTTAGTTTTTTTTTCGACTCTCTAGCCCAAACCGTTCAGGAGATATTCACATTTTTATACAGGGGCAAAAACTTTTGGCCCACCCTGTATATATACAGGATGGCCCAAAAAAAACCGCACCGATTTTGATCGGCAATAACTTTTGAACTAATGAACCTTTTTTCGTGCTCGAAACTGGAATTGAAAGGTCTATCAATCCTTTCCATCGCTATATAATTTATCAAATTTCCTTCAACAGATCCGGATCAATTGGAATTTAAGTACAAGCACTCAAGAAAGTGGATGAACAAGGCTGGCTTCTTGTTAACCCTCTCTGTATGCAGCATCCTACGGCGATTTTCCGTTGCATGCTTACAGACCAGACCAGCCTTGTTCATCCACTTTTTTGAGTGCTTGTACTTAAATTCCAATTGATCCGGATCTGTTGAAGGAAATTTGATCAATTATATGGCGATGGAAAGAGAATTAATAGACCTTTCAATTCCCGAGGGTCTCACTTTAAGAAAGCGGAGAAAATATCGTCTCCACCCACTTCTCCGTATTTGTTTGAGATTGGCAAATAGTGGGCTTTATTGAAGAGCTTAAAGTTTTTGTTAAGCATCCAACCTGGATATTCATTACAGCTCAATGTCTTATGAAGAAGGTCGCTGTTGAAAATGAAATCATCCTTTAAATCGCAGATTTGCAAATATCTATTTAGCTGCGATTTTATCATTTTTGATTATGTAGGAGGGGATGTTAGAGCGGTACATAAGCATGTTCAGTATTTTAAAGAAATAGTCCCTTCTCTTATCGTAGATACTGGTCAGTATCTGCGAATTTGAAATATTTAGGTTTAAATCCAAGTAGTGTGCCTTAAGAAATGGTGGTTCTGTTGTTTCTTCAACTTCCATACATTCCGGATAGATGTTTTTAATATCACGATCTATCCTGTCATTGTTAATGGCCAGGAGATCATCTATGTATCAGAATGTATAGGCATAATTCTCGGAGAGAGGGTTTTATTTAATAAATTTTGATTCGTAGAGAAACAAGAAAAGGTTTGTCATGTTCGTGGAATAGGTACTGCCCATTGGGATTCCGACTACTTGCTGAAAAAGTCGATTCCCAACTTGGATATAATTACATTCTAGGTTTGTTTTGAGCAGTTGAGAAAACCTTCCCTTGTCGATTTCACCTTTCTTACCAAACTTGCATCCAAAAGGCAGAAACCTTTCGAAAAGAGCAACGATGCAATTATGGAGTAGGTCTAGGGGGATTTTTGTATATAGAGTGGTAAAATCCCATGATCTGATGGATTTGGCTGTTTTAATAATATTTATGTTTCTTACAGCTTTCAGTACTCCTTTATTGTTTTTTATAATCCAATTTTCATGGACACTTTGAGAGGAATATTCGAGCTCATTCATGAGATGATCTAGAATTTCATTCACTCGAATTGATAGATTTCTTATGCATGTGCTGACTGAGCTGGTGACGAACCGAAATTTTATTGGATTTTTATGAAATTTGGGGTTTGCAAAAAGGAAAGGTATTTTTGTACTCTTCTATTTTTATTTCATATTCAGAACAGGCACTAAACACGTTCTTTCCTGCTTTTTCAAAACTTATGGTTTGCTCTTGAAAGGTAGGGGTGTTCAAAATTTCATCTTTCAGTATTTGGCCATAAAAACGTTGGCCTTATCGACAGTGACGATAACAAATTTCTTGTGCATTTCCTGTAGGAGATCTTTGAATTTTATGTAGGAAATATCTAAAGAGCCTTTGGGGTACTTGACCTGAAAACTTTCAATTTTCGTTTGTTGTTAGTTTGTTGCGAGAAAAGTTTAAATAGTATTTTAAGGAAATCTTCTTCATAACCATTATCCAGGAGCCTCTGGTGGTGGGACTCAGGAATTCGAA